ACCAAAGAAATTATTAATATGTGGCACTCACCCTCACACCACTCCCCCCCCCATCATTGTGAAAAAAAATAATTATTAAAGTGGCTAAGGTTGAGAAACACTGCTATAATGGATTAGGAGAGAATTTTGTACTAGCAATAAAAGTATTTCACAAAGCATGTTGATTGTTAGTCTTCACCTACCCAAGGATTATCTGGGACTACCATATTGATATCCTGGGGTGGTGCACGAATGAATGAATGAATGAATGAATGAATGAATGAATGAATGAATGCTTTGGGAAATCATTAAAACCACCAACGGTCTTAAACCACCTTGCTATCACGGGGAAGGTTGGAAAGAGGTTCATATTATCACCCTCAGCGTTACTTGTCATTTCTCCAGAGACTCAAAACATGTAGAAACAAATGCAGGTTTATAACTTCCACTGTTCAGTTTTGGAACTAAAGGCTCACTCACACACGTATGCACATCCATGTGTACCCACACCATTCAAAGTTTAGCAGGCCAGGTTAGGTCTGGGTTTCAAGAAAAGCTGAGGCGGGAATCCCACCATGCCTGTTACCTTCTTTTATGTAATGGCTCCAAAATACAACAGTTCCCAGCCACTTTTATAACTTCTCATGAGGCCAGTCCCACCTTGGAACTCTTCCCATTCCCTGTGGTACCTTTTCACTTGAGTACCATTCCCTCATCCAGTTAACATGGCAACCATCTCTTGTTGAATCTTCTTAGTGATCTCCATTCTGGCATTTTCCGATAAGCTGTATAAGATGAAATCTTCCAAAACACAATCATCTGTCTCTACAATGTGCTCCGTGCTGGTCTCATGTGCTCCATCTTTCATACATGTCTATCCATACTTTATCCAAAGAAATGTCACAAGGGGTGTGTGTGTGTGTGTGTGTGTGTGTGAACCAAACAGCTACAAATTAATATACATAATTATATGATAATACTGGTAACAGTATAGTTGTAGTGCAACCCCTTTTTGCAACTCCTGAAAATGAAACCAGTGACTTTCCCCAAGAATAACCGTAATTATTTTGGAGTCCTTGCATGCATTTGTATAAACAGATCTAGATATTGCTTTAGAGCACCCTTCTCAACCCTCTTTCAGAAGACACTTACCTGTTATTGTCCTACTGCTGGGATCACAATTCTTTCATGCATTCCTATCAACTGACAAGTCTGCCACTTGGCAAGGCAAGATATTAATATACCAATGAGGATGGCCTGGGGGAGGGGAGAACTTGGGACCACCCCACCAGCATAACCTGAAGCAGGACTTTCTCAGTTGTTTTTGACCCTTCCTTCTGTGCCCCTGCCTGGCTTTCAAGTTAATGGGATCCACAACAAGGGCCCTAATGCTATTTTTCTAACTCATACCTTACACAACTGGATAAATCAATAGGCATACATTTTGCATGAACAGCACAAAAGATGTTTGAATTGTAGCAAGCAGGCAAATAAGTAAATAATTTCTAACTTGCCTGAAGAAATAAATCTCAAAACATTTCCTTTCAAATACCTATTTTTTGTAATCCAGACAAACAGATCTTTATATTTGTTATTGCTTAAATTAAAAATAGCATAACCACATTGTCCAATACAATGACAGCATACTTAAACATATTAGATTACAAGTATCAACAAAGTGAATCATTTTACTCAGATGAAATACTAAAACTATCAAACAGAAACAAAGCTTTGCAAAGCAATGCAAAACTCCATACCTTTCCAAGTAACATTAATAGCACAATCTTACATTTGTTTACTAGAAGTCCCATTGAGTTTAGAACACACCCTTGCGTTAAGTGTATATGGGATTGCAGCCTATTTTTTTCTGCCAAAACATTTAATCCAGGTGAACAGAATTTCCTCATCAACAAACAACAGGGATGAACAATACTGAACTGATCTATGGGATAAATATTATCCCACTTTCAGCAAACATTAACCAAGACCAATATCCCTATCTGAAAGGACCATCACTGCTCTGTTCTTCTATTCCACAGTATTCTCAAAGATACTTAAATTGTTCAAGGCTCTGGGCTAAGCTTCTTAGACGATCTTATGACTTCTGTCCGGCTCCTAATTCCACGGATTACCAGCATTTTAGCTGGGCCCTTCCCTGTGCCCGCTTCAACTTAATTAGGCTTACAAAAAAAAAAAAAAAGAGGAAGAGGAAGAGGAAGAGTAAGCGATACAGCCGCTGGTCGGAATCCCCCAGCCCTCCCGAGGAAATCCCAGTGGTGTTTTGTACCCGGCACTATGCAAAGGTTTTCCCGATATTACAATCTGTCTTGTCTTAGCCACTTCCAGGAGTAATGGTTACTGCGAGGAGGCACTCTGCATATGTATGCCCAGAGGGTCCTTTCCAGAGCTTGAACCGGCTACTGATACTCAGGTCCCGGCCGGGCTGAATCTTGGCATCCACGCGACCCTGCAGCCTACAGTTTTCACTTCCAGGGCGCGGATCGTTCCGAGGCATTGCAGGGAAAGCACAAGGCTTTGCCGGTGCCTTCCACGGCTTGTATCAGGACCCCGCAGCAAAGGACGGAGGAGCGTAAGCAGGCGACCGTCCCCGGGGAGAGCCAGGGAAAAAGCCGGCTAGAACAAGCGGCGCAGGCCGGCTGCAGGCCCGCCGGCCCCCCTTCACCCTTTCGCCGAGGGCTGCCAGAGCCAAGGCTCCCGCCTCTCTCCCCCCCGCCCCTCCAGGCAGCCGCAGCCCCACCCCGGTCTAATGCTCGCCACGTTCAGCCGCTTGCCAAGCTTCCCGAGGCTCAGAGTAACTTGCTTGCCCCAGCCCTGCCCCTTCGACGGGCTTCCGCGGCGATCATTGGCTCTCTCAGCCACGGGCTGCTGCGCTCGGAGCCCTGGCAGTCCTAGGGAGGGGCTAGTCTTGGGAGCTGAGCGCCCCGCAGTTTCAGCGCCGCTGCCGAGCGATTGAGTTGCAGCCGCCGCTCGTAGGAACGAGTGAGTCGATTGTCTTAAAGGTCGCGCGTCCCCCTCAGCCCATCATTTGCTCGCTGTCCCTGCCTCCTGCCTTTTCTTAAACCGGCTTCTAAGCGGATCCAGCCTCTTCCTCCATTCGCACACAGCTTGGAGGGCTCTGTTCATCATCTGTTCCGATTCCCCTCCCGCCGGCGGATATTTTCTGCCCATTCCTAAATGAGTCAGTGATTTGGGTGGAGATCGGTCGCGTCACGAGCTCCTGCGTGCACGAGTCCCGCTGGAAGGGGGAATGAGCGCTATTCGCGAGTCCCAAAGTGCCCATAGGCAGGGAGAGGATGGCGCGTAACACATCCATCCTAGACCAGGGTTCGCGTGGGCTGGACGTCTTATCCGGACTGTAACAGATGATCTTTCTTTCTCTTCAGCTGTACAGGGATTTCTGTTCTGTGCTCGCAACTTTCCTCACGTTGTACTGGCTCCAACCCTGTGAGTCATGCTAAACTGAGAGGTTTACTTGAAATTTCAGGACTGGCTTAAATTTACTTTGTGACTTTCACAGTTTAGTGGGATTTCAGGTTGCATCACCCTACAGTCTTCCAAGACTGTACTCACCATACCCACTTTCCCTTATCCAGCTTTCCTGTCCAGGGTGGCTATTGGTTCTATGGCAGGAATAATGGGAGCTGAACCCCCACATGTAAAGGGTGTCAGGACAGGTGATATCTACATGGCATGCAAGCTGCGTGGGAAGGGCTCTGCCCATAGGACTGAAATGATTGAATGACTATTGTAGGAGGCAATGATTTAAAAAAAACTAATTTACAACCTGGATTGCGAATTGGAAGGGGAAGTCCTCTATTTGATAGAATTCAGACTTTCTGTATGTGTGTATAAATTGTTGGAAAAGGGAGAGGTTGCTCCCTTGGAATGGAGGCATTTGGTCAAATTCTGGACTGGGTTTTAGCAGTTTAAAAGTAATGTCTAAGTAGCCCTCTTTGATTCTTCTATAATTTAAGCACAGATTTGTGCTCAGTGCTCAAATGTCAATGCCTGTTTCAATCATATGTAGCCAGTGTATATTAATGAAACAATTAAAGTAATGAAAATGGCTGTACATGACATTGAAATAGGCTTTAACTTGAGATCATCTGCCACTCATGCAGCCAAGCGTCATGTGACAGCCCTATAAATCCTCCAAAGAATACATCTGATTAAATTAGGTCCATGTATTTATTTATTAAAATGTTTATAGCTTGCTTGCTATTATATGGATTTCCGGTATGTTCAAGTTACAGTATAAAATTATAAAACAGTGAAATAAATAAAAAATAAGGACTCCTTCGAAAGATTAAAATAGCAATAGTTACAGGACTTGTATGAAGACTTCCTGCTAACTGGACCTAGAGAACATGCCTAATGTCACAGTGTCACCTTTGTCACATTGTCAGCCCATGAGACAAAAAACCAGCTCTTCACTTGGCAGCAAGAAGCAAGTGGTGGCCCAGACTGGCTTCCAAAACTGAAATGGCACAACAGAGAAGGCCCTCTCCTGAATCTTCCCAGAACATACTTCTGAGACAGTGAGCAGCAATCTTCCACAGATATTAATGTTTGAGTAGGTACATACTGGCAGGGACACTCCTTTTAAAGAACATTACAAAATTTTGAAGTACATTGTTTATAGCAGCCAGTGATAGTTCCCTTAGGATCAGTGTTTTATGATATCTAGCCAGCAGTGTCTGCATGGGGCAGAGGGAAAAAATGGGGTCTGAGTGATAAACATAGTATTTTGGGGTTGCAACACAAGCCCCGCTCCTTTTCTATGTGTGTTGCAGCATCTCATGCATGTCCCAAAGTTGGAGAGCTTGAGGTGCAATACTGTGATGTTGCTTTCATCATTCTAATAAAAGCAGTGTGGACAGCCCTGTCTCTAGCGGTGGGTTCCAAGCCACCTTCAAGGGCAGTTCCATGCACATTGCAGTACTCTAATCTGACAGGCCAGAGATGGAACTAGCACAGTTACTTGTGGCCACATCACCCCTCCCCCAAAAGGGTTGCAGACAGTTGCACCTGATCAAATGAACTGTGGGCCATTTGGGCTTGAGTGACAGATGAATCCAGGAGAATTCCATGGATGGTCATCTGCTCCTTCAAGGGGAGTGCAACTCCATCCAGAGCCACTTAGTCCATTCCTGAACTTGTGAGCCACCAATCCAAAGCACCTCCATCTTCTTAGGGATCACTCTGTTTATTGGTCCTCATGTAGCCAAACACCTGTCCAACATCTGCCACTATCACATGTTAATGAGCAGAGAAAAAAACACAGCTGGGTGTTGTTCTTTTTTTGGGGGGGGGGAGGTACCTTTGAATCATTGTTGACTCCTGCACTTTTCTTGGCAAGATTTTGGAAGAGGTTTGCCATTGCCTGCTTCCTAGGGCTGAGAGGGTACGACTAGCCCAAGGTTACCCAGCTGGCTTCATGTCTAAGGCAGGACTAGAACTCATGGTCTCCTGGTTTCTAGCCCAGTGCCTTAACCACTACACCAAACTGGCTCTCTATTCTTGTATTAGTAGCACCTATATGCCCTGTTGATCTCAGTCAGTTACTCAATATAGTTATTAAACAGCAAAAATGATAGCCACTACCCTGAAGGTAGGTGTGAAATTGTTGAAGACCAGTGCTGCCTACTCCACCCTCAGACAATTGTGATTAAAAGAGATGATTTACAAAGATGGAAGATAAAACAAAGATCAAGTCCTGCTAGTAAGACTAGAGAACCAAGTTTTAGCAAATCCCAGGTGCTTATTTTTGGTTCTGAATAGTGCCCTACAATTTAAACACAAGGATCTCATTATTCAGAACTTTTTTTTTAAAGTTAGGCCAAAAATTATGCATTTGAATATTTTTTCCTCTCCCCCCTTAATTTCTTTGGTTTCAACAGTCATAGAAATGGTCTCCTATGTGTGAAAATTGTGGAAAAAATCTTCATTATTGAGAAAAGTGAGATAATCTACTTAGCCAACTTGTTAGACCTTTTCCCAACCCCAGCCTACTTCTCATTTCTTTGTTGATGCCCTTTTTGTTCACTACTGGGAACAGAACTTAAATCCATGAAGTATTATTGGATTCACTCTGAATCCTTGCGCTTGTTTTGAGGAAAAGCTCAGAGCATTGGCTCTAACAGTGCATTACACTAGCCTTTCTTTTTTGCTGTCACTGTGCCTACCCAGATTTTTGTTCAAAAGGACTATTCCATTTAGAAAGTACTTTTGAATATCAGAGATTGACCTTTTTCTTTGGAAAGAGAATGTTTGTTGTTTTTCTTATTGCCTAGGAACTAAGCTGGATATGGAAAATGAGATTTAAAGAGCAACCAATGCTTCTTTAGAAAGTGCAGAGATCATGGTAGGAGGGAGCCCTTCTCTAGTGCTGATGGAAATCTTATTGCCTTCAGTAATTTAAAATGAAAAAAAAAACCTTTATTAAAGCATTATTTTGGCTTAGTCTTAAAGGCTAAGAAATAATTAACATATAATGTTGATCAATTGATTATGTATATTGCGGTGGCCCAGCATTGCTTTGATACATACCTTGCAGGAGTAGAAAGCACAATAACTAGGAAAGGATACTGAGGCAATAAATCATAGCTTGTTTAAGCATGGGTTGTTGAATGCCAGTTGGTTGAATTTACACAATATGCTGACAAAACCATTGTTTACAAACCACAGTGGCTGAGCCAAAGCCACACAAATCACAATTTGATTTAGCATGAGCTGTGAACCATGCCAGAGAATACTGTGATACTAATTGGGCAGATTTCCTCAAGAATGAAGAGTGTCTCAAGAGCAAAGCAGGAACACATCAGGATGTGAGAGAGGGGCAAGGACAAAATATGATCTGTTGTCCTTTTAGGTGGGTATAAATGAGAAATACATTTCAGGATGGCCTTGCACAAGTCTGATAAATATTCCTGTATGGCTTATTCCTATTCTGTTAGATGGGATGGCCAATTAGTTTTTAATAGGAGGCAGCTTTCAGGACAATAAGATGGTCATGTCCCACAAACCTATCAAGCTGGTTAACATGTGCCCCCAATCTATGACCTATTCAACAAACCAAATTTAAAACAAACTACAGCTTAATGTCAACCAGCATCACTGTGAAGTTGCCTGTTTTGGTCTCTAAAAGCAATGGCTGTTTTAAGAAGTGCCATTGCATGTAAAAAAGCTATTTGTGTGGCTAAAAGAACAGATAAGTTTCATTGGCTGCCTTCTAGACCAAACTCAAGGCTCTGATTTGGGAGTCTGAGTTATCTGAAGGATCACCTGGGTCTGTATGAGCTTGCCCAAGTATATTAAAACCATTGTCTACTTTCTGGATTGCTAGTTAAAGCCATTCAGTTAGCAAATATCAGGAATGGGATCTTTTGGTGTTGTGTATGCTCCATAGGATGGCTGTGTGGATACTGTAGTAAACTGTAGACTTAATCATCATAATTTGTATGCAAGTTTGGAGCCATTTAGTGAGTAGTGGACTAATAATCAAGGAAGTATTATTTTTTTTGAAGTGAATAAACACACCTCTGTATATGCCATATCTGCCTGTCTCCCTCCCCACTCTAGTTATTATTAGGTTCAAAGGAAGTCAGCAGAAAACATACTCTTCTTGAAAGGGTACCATATATTTTGTATCTTTCTTGAAAATCTCCAAATACTCTGAATGCCAAATCTTAACCAGGGGAAAAGATAGAATGGTAGTAAATTGAGGATGTGTCAATCTCTTGTGTGTCTCTGTATTCGCTGTGCAATGATATGATTATTTTGCTTTCTTTCTTTGCCTTCTTGCACAGAATGTCTGCAGAACTGTCTTTGCTCATCAACATAAATGAGCCACGATGGGATCAGAACACCTTCATGGGGAGAGCAAAGCATTTCTTCACAGTGACAGATCCCCGCAACCTTCTGCTTTCTAGCAAGGCCCTAGAAGATGCCCGAAGAGTGATACAGGATTACAGGTTCTCTTGGAGAGTTGGTGGGAGGCAGTTGTAATGACAAGAGAGAATCCTAACATGTATATTTTTGGTCCAAGTTGTTTAAAACACCTGATGGAACTGTGATCCTCCGTTTCCACTTCTCTCTTCTAGATGCTGGGATGATAGAGCTTCTTTCCCTCTGTCCCTCCTCCTCCTCCATTGTTCTTCTGAGCATTATCTACTGTTTGTAACATTCAGCAGGGTACCTGTGATAAATAGAATATATTCAGTGAAAGTAGAGGGAAGAGAATTTATACAGGTGAAGCTGGGCTGGGAAGGTGACTCTCACTGAAGATCTGAGGAAGGTCTTTTTTGTTTGATTGAACTTCTGTAGTAGTAATTTAGTGGTGGGAGTCTTGGGGTAGCTCAAGACTATTGCACGATCTTTTTATGCAATCCCAAATTAGGATTTGGAATGTGTGAAGAAATGTAGCCTAGGGTTTCTTCGACAGAAGCTTAGGGAGGTTGGGCCCTGTGAACTTGGGTGAAGAGAAGAGCAAGGAGCCTCCATTCGGTCTTCCTTTCTGAAATCCTTTTTGCTCTAGGGGATTCTGGGAGTTATGAATATAGCCCCTCTGTTCCCTAAACCTATCTCCACCCCTAGCATTAATCTTTTCTTCAGCAATCTCCACAACATCACATTTCATTTCTTTGAACTACTATCATTTTCCTTTCATTTTTGTGGATCTTTCCAGAATGGGTAAGGTAGCACCAGGCCTGACTGAGGACCAACTATGGCGGGCAAAATACATCTGTGACTCTGCCTTCCATCCAGACACTGGTGAGAAGATGATCCTGATTGGACGTATGTCTGCCCAAGTGCCTATGAACATGACCATCACTGGATGCATGCTCACCTTCTACAGGCACGTGTGTATCTACTAAGGTCTGTCCTCTTGTGTGGGCATAGGATACAGAGAGGTGTGAGATAAGACACCCATAACTAAGGGCCAAAGAGGCATGTGATGAATGAATGAGAGAGCAGCTTTTATTTTACTTTATGAAAAATAGCAATTCCTGGGGTCAAGGGAATATTCAGACCTGATTAGTATGCTAGAAATATAATTTTTTTGTTCCATAGATTGCTCAAGCTGCTATTAGTTGGGGGGGGGGCAGGGGGAAGAAGAGACAATATGGCTGTTTCCCCCAGTAAGTTTCAATATTGGATCAGAGGAGGTGATTTAAGGCAAGAAAGCAGTGTAGATAGGGGGGAAATTATCTTAATTCCCCCCTGCCAAATATGTTTGGTTTTAATGAAAAAGATGCTGGTCTCCTGCATGATATATGCTTGGCTTTAATCTGAAAGTAAGGGGACACAGCTTATTGGGGTAAATAGCATTATCTGGTCATTTGACTTTCAAGCACTAGAAAGGAATGGAGAATAAGGTCCTTAAAGCCAGAAGTGTGCAAAAGGTAATGAAGGCCATGTCTGTCAACTTCAGTTTGGCTCACTTTCTCATTCTTCCAATGGCTTAAAATGAAACCTTGAACTGACTATAGGGATTTTGGTGTAGATTCTTCCTAATGCATACTTTTTGTATGGACTTTTTCCTAACTTGTGGGTGATAGTACATATATACTCTGCAGCATATATATCTGCAGCAGATATATTGCTCTGTGAATCTTCTTTAAAGGGTTCCAAAAAAGAAAAGCATTTTGATTTGCATTTTGATTTGAGAAGCATGATGTAAATAAGTTTGGATGAAACGCAAGCCCCAACATTTCTTTCTCCATCTGTAGCTGATATTCAGAACAAAGTCCTGACCTCAGAACTGTTTAATTCTAAGTGCCTATTTGTTGCCTTGTTCTGGTTAGTGGATCTTGGGATTCTAAATAAGGCAGATTCCCCCAGATCTGAAGGCTCCACACCCTTGCTTTAATTGCATGACACTCACATTGTACACTTAGGTCTGGTTTATTCTCCAAGTTGTTAAAGTATACCATTGTCTGTTTATTTTATGTGATAACATTTTATGCAAAACTGTGAGCATGGTAGGTATAGATTTTATGCTTTATGCATATAAATAACTGCAATGCAGCATTTTAAAATTCAAACTATGTATGAAAATTAGCAAAGTTGTTCATGCATGCAAATGGGTTCTCTGGAAAGTCCTGAGTGGCTTCAGTGATGAGCATGTATGTAAAACCATTTAGAAATGTAGGCATTTGCAGGGACGCATGTTAAGAATGTTTGCAACTTACTTGTTAATAAGGGAAACCACAGCTAGGCCTCTTGAAGTGTATGCACAAATGTGTGTGATTGTACACTAAGACAAACAAGCACAGTTTTCCTAGGATGCAGAGGGTTAGCCTGGCATTTTGGTTTCTCTGATAGCTTTCTGTCTTGCCTGCCCGATGGTTCTGGCAGACCTGACTGTCTCTTTTCCATGGAGTCCTTGGTGTTCTCTGAGCTTGGTTGTTTGCTTGCAGGCATTCCATTACCCGACTAGGTAACATCATCAGTGCCTAGTTGGGCAATGAAACATCTGCAAGCAAACAACCAAGCTGAGAGAGCACCAGGGACGCCACAGTTCAATCCTGGACTACATATATTCTCTTCTATTGTCTCTTTTCCTGCAGGACGGCTCCTGCTGTGGTTTTCTGGCAATGGGTGAACCAGTCATTCAATGCCATTGTTAACTATACTAACCGGAGTGGAGATGCACCTATCACTGTCAAGTAAGAAAACACTTGGTTTACCCAAAGTAACTGGAAGTGAATACTATAAACTTCCCTGCAAAGAGTTGCATCCAGTGGTCTTGAGCTACCTGGCCCTATGCCAGCCATGAGCTATGGCAGTTTCTAGGAAGTGCCATTTTCAGGACTCAGTGTTTACCTGGGAAGCAGAACAGGAGATCTCAGTGCTACCTGTTCTCTAATTCCAGATATGATTTGTACTCCTGAAGATATTACTTCCACCTCACCATTTTATTCGTTTTCTTTGTTTACTGAGCTTATAGGTTGCTCCAACTGTTGATGATTATGAGCAGTACACATATCTAACATACGTAAACTGGGTTAAGATCATAAAAATAAAATAATAAAATAAAAAACGTATCAACATACATAAGTACCAGGAATATCAATTACATTAACCAAAAGGAAAGAGAAAAAATATCCAGTGCTAAAGGGAACAAAATCACAACATCTAATCCACAAAGCCTGCTGGAATTGCCAAGTTTAAATACCTTCTTAAAACTCAATAGGATAGGAGCTATTTGGATTTCTGGGGGAACTCTGTTTCACAGAAGGGGGGGCAGCAATTGAAAAGGCTCCCTTCTGTGATCCTGAGAGTGATGTTCCCTAAGTGAGGGGATACAGAGGGAGCCTACTTGATCAGATCTTACTGCACAGGCAAATCTATTGGGAGAGTGGTCCCATAGATACATAGGTTCTGAGCCATGTAGGGTTTTAAAAGGTGATAACCTGCACCTTGAATTGTATCTGGAAGCCAACTGGCAACCAGCGCAGCTCTAAAAGTAGTGGGATTACATGGGCAAATCAAGATGCAGCTACAAGCTGCTTCATTCTGGTAGGTACTGAATGCTTTTCATGGCTAGTTCTATGTAAAGCATATTGTAATAATGAAAGGTGCCTGAGGCAGTGATACCTCCCTCTGAATTGGATTGATGCTGTTTTGGTTTAGAAATGATCCACATTAGGTCCATGAGTTCAGAATTCAAATGCGTCATCATTTACAAAATGATGCATTTCACAGCCAGTATTTCTAATACATATTTGAGCTGGTATGTACTGTTAGATATTTAATAAACAATTTTGTCCTCCATGTTGGAGAGTTCAGGGGGATGATTTTTCAAAGTGTAAGTGAGGAAGTGATGGGAAGTAGTGGGGATCGTTGAGCATTTTAGAAAGGAAGACTAAAGGGAGAGGTGACGTTAGCAGTGTTGGGATACAACCTCTGTGGAAGAGAACTGCTGTGCAGAAGCAGAAGGAATATGAAGAGGGCAGGGGAAATTAACAATGCTGGAGACTATGTGAAAAAATAAACCTACTTATTCCCGAGACTTTAACCGTGAGTGACCTGAGTGACAGGCATGGCTCAATTTGATAAAGGTAGGCAGCCTCTTTTGGCCTAGTGTGCCATGCTTCATTTTTGTGTCCTCAGAGACCAGTGATGTCATCCGAGTGGGCAGGACTGGCATTTTCAGTCTGGTACTTTTGTATTTTGGTAAGGCTTTAAGAAACTTGTCATTCATTTTGCCCTTAAACCCCTATAGAAAGGCTCCATAAGCTTCTGCAAGGTTTAAGGCACCATTATGCTCCTTAATCTTCCAACCAGCCCCAAATACAATCTGAAAACTTTGATTTTGCCTATCCCTGATCAGAGGTAGTATATATGCCCTATGATACTCTGAGGCTGCTTATAGCCTACAGTGTGTAAGATTGCTACCCACCCTGCCACAATTCTGGGATTGGAGTAAGGACTGGGGTTAGGTTAGACAGGAGGGAGTGTCTTAGTGTCACCCAGTTGTCTGCTTCCTTTACAGACAATTGGGCACTGCTTATATCAGTGCTACTACTGGAGCTGTGACGGCGGCGCTAGGACTCAAATCTCTCACCAAGGTAAGAGACTCATTGGCTCTGTCACATCACAGAGGGAAAACATGCACTTCTTGATCAAGCCACTCTGAAGACAGGATTCCTCATCTCTGAAATGAGGGTTAGACATTTGACCTCGCTTACAAAAATGATTTTGTCTCTTTACTTGGTTACCACATGATCTGCCTCTTTGTTTCAGGAGCAGGAGGCTTCATTTTTATCATGGACATTTGGATATTGGTGCAGTCTAGCTATGGAGTTCATGGATAGTTCTTTATCGCATATTAATAAGCCAGGCTAACAATTTCACTCTTTCTATCCTAGTACAATAGATTTAATGTATTAATATCTGTATACATACAAATATTAAGAAATTCCTAATATAGTAATTCTTGTACTGTATACTACATTTATCCGAAAGGAAGATGATTCTGAATGTAATGCCCCCACCCTCCAACACCTGAGAAAATTAGATAGAAAAACTCATCTGCTTTCCTTACCAGATTCTTAAAGAATTACTCTTCCAGTTCAAAGGTTTTGGGGAAAAAGTCTTCCTTTCAGATAATTTTGCATCTCAGGCAGATGTAGGGCCTTTCTCCATTTGCAGCTGACCACAAACATGCCCAAGCAATGTCTTTTTTTCTGCCATTGCTTCATAACCTTGCTTTCATCTTACCCCAACTCATACCTGACCCAGCTTAAAGCTGCCTGAAGCAAATTTCTTCAAGTAACTAACAAGCCATCTTGTAGTTTGTCAGTGTTGCAGTCAGATGTTCCATAGAGGGTGGGATCTGCTTGTTATCCATGGAACACATTAGGCTGGTGTGGATACAGATATTACCTTCTAGTCCCTAATATTTTCATCCAGAGCATTTTGATTTGGACAGTGGGAGAATTGGGTTTGTTCAACCTGGGTTCTCCCCCTGTAAGCATCCGGTCTCTGAGCTGATCCCTGACCAACGGTGGCAGTGGGGATGTTGCAGGGCTGTAGCTAGTTCACAGTGCAACTTTCCCCATGCTTGTCAACTGTTGTTTGGGCTACTTTTCACTAAACCTATAGCACTTTTCTGGCATCCAGAAACTAACATGTTTGAAAGGAGTTCAGTTGTCATCTGATATTCCCTTTGAAAGCATCCATGCAGAACACTTATGCAAAACCACAGCAAGTTCTGACAAATGGCTAAATCTATCAATATAGCTATCTGTAAAACTCACCTGGTTGGTGATATTTATGGGAGGGGGAAAAAAGCCAGGAAAATCCACCAATCCACCAATCCCTGTTCTTAATGTACTCTGAACATTATAAATAAGCACTGGTGTTCCTGTGGCAGGACAGGGGTCTCCAATGGGTGCAGCAAATTGTAGAGTCTTCTGCTGGCACAAGGACTGATGGATAACACACTGACTTGGTGATGAGAAGGAACCTATAGATAAGCATATAGGTTTTAACTACGAGGCCTTGCTTCTCAGGGTCATGCTAGCTTGCATTTTATAAAGCGTTTTAGATGTTGGAAAAGCAGTGATAGTCCTATGTAGTCAACCTTTGGCTATGTACACATCCTAATTGTGTTTAGATTATATCTCATGCTGACAAGAGACTCAGAATTCTTACACTAGCCCCAAAAGAAGAACAAAACTAAACAAAAGAAGAGCAGAGGGCTAGAAGTTGAGACTGTTTTGTTAATGTGTTTTAAGCCTGAGCTCTCTCACCAGTTGGCCTATCTAAGAGGTTTGCCTAGCAAATCAGAGAGCCGCACTTATGCCCCTCTGTATAATCCAGTGCATGAATAAAACAGTATACAGTGGATCTGGCATAGTAGAAGAATGAAGGCTGAAATTTCATTATATCTGTATGGTGAATTCTCAAAGGAACTGAAAAACAGAAGGAATTGATGGCAGTTCCTGACTGCATCAGTGACCCTGTTGTAAAATATAATTCTGTTCATCATGTTATTAATTTAGTCTGTATCACGAATCTTTTTCTTCTCTCCTCATTTCAACCCTCCCCTCCTTGATAGCATTTGCCCTCAATCATTGGACGCTATGTGCCTTTTGCAGCTGTGGCAGTTGCAAATTGCATTAATATCCCATTAACGAGACAAAGGTAAGATGGTATGGTTTGTTGGGTGGAAATGTAATGGGAGAACTGCTCCAGGAAGTTAAACTCCTAATAATTCCTTACAGGTTGCATATTCTGAACGTCTGTAACATTGGATAACAGTAAGATGAGATATGAACATTAAATTTTAGGCTGACCATATTTTTTTTACCCCAATGCTGGATGGTCCCGCGATCATCTAAGAAGAGTATATGTCATAAATAGAAAAATAATTGTAGTGGCAATGAACTTCAATAATAAGTCAATATTTACTTACCTAAACAGATAAACAGAATGATCATGGGTGGGCAGAAAAGCACTGGGAGCGGGAGCAAGTTCCGACTTCCTGCTGACTTCCCCATTGACTTTGCTTGTGGGAAACTGGCAGGGAGCTGGCATGATCGCATGACCACAGTGACACTGCAACGGCCACAACTTTGCAAATAAAACTAGTCTGAACATCATGGAAATTTCAGTTCCACAGGACTAATGGGTTCCAGATATTTTACGCATTCTTTAAGTTAGTGGATTTTAGGTACTTTGATTCAAAAATAGTTGTGGTATAATGCACGTTTGGGCTAATTTGAGGGTACAAACAGACAAACAGATAAACACAGTAAGAGTTGTAGTAGTCTATAGATACCAACTGTAGGCTGAGTCAGCTTCAGCAAAATTATTCCATTGTGTGTATTCAAATCAGAAACTGGGATTTTGAAACAGGAATAGGCAGTATTCTTTTTCCTCTAGTCTTTTCCTCCATACATCTCCTTCCTTCACACATAGCAACTTTCTTTCTTTCACATTTACTCCTTTGCAAATATACATGCAGTACCAAACATGGATTGGGATTTAAAACACTCCAGTGTGTTGGGATTCCACTGGGTGCTTCCTGCCACCCAGTTGAATTAGCACTGGGAACAGCTGAGGTGTATACTAGTCAGTTCTCCTCAGCTGTTTCCTGCAAAAATGAATCTGGGCAGCTGGAAAGTCAACCAAGGACTTCCTGTAGTTCATAAGCAAGAGGTTTTCAATGTATGGCTGGTAGGCTATGCAAGTACTGCAGGTGGATCCTGGTGAGGGTATATACTGTATATGATCAGAAGATTAAAATAGATAATAGATTAGAGAGACAGATGAGAGAGAGAGAGAGAGAGAGAGAGAGAGAGAGAGAGAGAGAGAGAGATTTAATGTTGGGTGGGAGCACATGCTGTAGTGACTGGCTTCTGTAGCAGTCCTCAAAAGCTTTTGTTGATCATGTGGTGGCCCATATAGTGGAGAATGTTGGGTACTATTGCCATAAACCATCAGTATTATACAACACATGAGAAAAAACAATATAATGAATTGTAGAGAAAAGACAGAATGAGGAATGAAGCCAAATCTCTTGTTACCCATAAGGATGTGTGTACCCTTCTTAATTTTCATAGCTCCAATCTGTTTACAGTGTTGTTCATTGTGTACTGTAACCTCTGCAATCTGTGATGCTTAACTCATCTTATTTGAGACTTGGGCAGTGCCTAATGGGTCTATGGCCCCATAATACATTGTTCCTAAGCAACCTGTTATTGGGAGGAGCGTGGGCAACAGGGAGCAGATTTAATACTTCTGCCCCTAGCCTGGGAAGAGAGGAAGCATGACGATTTGATCTCAGAAGAATCATTGCATCTTCAAAGGCAGAAGAAAGGAAAGGCTGTCTGTTGCAATAAATAGAGCTTACATTTCCCCCTTAACCATTTCTATAGGGAGCTAAAGTTTGGTATCCCCGTTATGGATGAACATGGGAATCGGCTGGGCGAATCGAAAAAGGCAGCCCAGCAAGCTATTGTGCAAGTGGTGATTTCACGCATTGGCATGGCCGCACCTGCAATGGGTATGTAGTGGCTACTTTGATAAATATTTGAATTTCAGTGAATATTCCTTTTTTGTCCATCTTTTTTTTTTTAATGAGAAATTTTGAATCAAAATTAAAATAACCTCTGAACGTAGAGCTTGAAAGCCACAAGGGTTTAATATTATATAACAGGTATTTGTTTAGTCCTTAAAACTTCTGAATTCAGTGGAACTTGCTTCTGATGAGAAGAGTATAAAGAATTATGCTACAGGGAAAGGATGTTAGTCCTTCCCTGTTGAGGCATTAGGAGAGCGACAGATAGGAGAAGAAGCATTTATTATAATATAAGTTTCCATATCTATAACTGGTTCCTAGAATAACCTTCACTAATAAGTCTCATCTTCAGTCATTAACTGTTGCTGAGGCTGATGGGATTTGTAGTCCATACACTCCAGAGAGGAATGCACCTTGAAGGTGGGGAAAAGGTTTCTAATGAAAAAAATATCTCAGTGAGTCCAGTATGTGCAGGTCTTCTCTGTCCCTTCCTTGGGGAAACATGTAGTTGATGTATGTGCTGTCTGACTCTTCTTCCACTTCTTCCCCACAGCCATCCCTCCTGTGATCATGAATGCCCTAGAGAAAAGAGCATTTTTGAAGGTATGATTTCTCTGGTTCTTGATCAAGTTCATGTGCCTCCATGTCTTTATGCTAGAAGGATGTTTTTGTCAGGGTCCCTTCTAGCACAAGAATATGAGGGAAGTTGGCAAAGTTTAAGCCTCATTTTTGCTTTCTGAGTTGCAGCCCTATACAAATGGCAGCTGCAAGAAAAGAAAAGGAAGTTTACTTTTCTTTTTAGAGGTATCACTTGTCATGTTTGGAATCAGGGTTGATTGGATGGGTGAAGAACGTGAAAATCATGTAAATTTTAATTAAACCAACTTTCTCCAATCTGGTCCTCTCCAGATGTGTCAAATTTATAGTTGGAATTGGTACTCATGCTGGCTAGAAGTTGAAGCCCCAGAAACCTGAAGGGCAACAGGTTGAGGAAGTCTGTATTGAAGCAGGGTTTTCTTCCCTTGTTGCAAATAGCAAATATGAGTTTAACATAAAAAGAAACTATCCTGTTACAAATGCCATGTTTAGCTCCTAGTATTAAAAATTATCATGAGGTTAATATGTCACTTCAGTGAGATTGCTAATATTCTGCTACCACTTTAGCCCTGTGATATGGATTTTGGGAACCATATAGTATTTTTCCCCTCATATTTCTGACTCCTATAAACCAGTGTTTCTTAAACTTTTTTCTCTCAGGACCCCTTCCCACTTTTAAAATTTATGGAGAACCCCAAAAGAACTTCTGTTTGTATGGCTTATATTTATTGATATTTACTGTATTAAAAATTAAAATTGCCACATTTGCTGCCATTACCGCTTCTCATGATTGTTTGATGGGATTTTATTATTGTATTATTTTTCAACATAGGCTGGCAAATAATTTTGATTTTGTGGACCCCTGAGAGGGTCTTAGGGAACCCCTGGGGTTCTCAGACCACACTTTGAGGAACACTGCTATAAACCATTAATGTAGGCTTTTGGCAGCTTGTCTTAGATGTCCTTCCAAAGTTTGTGTTATCATTCACTTTCCTACACCAAATATTTATTGCTGAGGACAACAGCTTCTATGAGGACGGTCATTTGTGTCAAAATCAGCAAGATGGCAGATGGAGCATTGTAATCAAGCCCCTTATGTGGCTTTCTATGTGCATCAACATTGCACGTGTGTTCAAAAGAAGTAGGACTTGCATTGTGATGCTCTGCAGTCTTGCTGATTCCCCAGCTCCCCACCCCTTTTCTGGCTAAGGAAATTGTCCAGGTTTTCAGTGCTTTGAATCATATTTCTTTCCCGTATCTGATACGTTTCTGGGTTTAAACAAAAATAGAAATATTCCTAGCAGCAGATTAACCCTATTCAAAAATCAAGTCCTGGGAGCTCTGTTGAGTTCTGTCAGATTTACTTCCAGGTAAGAATGACATGCTTGCAACACTGAAGATATTCCACTGGGGATGAAGGATGGCTGTGGCAAAGGCAGAAGCTGAACTTGCCACAGTGTTGAACTGTGGCATTGTGTTCTTCAGGCAACATGACATTCTGCCTCTGCTTATATATTCTGTGCATCAGGCTCAAAAAGGGCCTGACATCATCTCAAGAAATGTATGACTATGATTGCTACATAAGTAGTTGCACCTCTATAAACTATGAGTAAGAATTTCTGTTTTGGAAAACAATATGAATATTGAGTGCAAACAATTCCTTTGTATTTCCCATCAGCGGTATCCCTGGATGAATGCTCCTCTGCAGATTGGACTGGTGGGCCTGACGTAAGTGAGATCTTTCTCCTGTGCAAATAGAACTGTCCTGGAGCAGATTAATGTTCGCTTTCTAAGCTGCCTTGTAGTGATGCTGAGGCCTGTAAGGTAGAAGGCTAGATGGCCGTTCACTATCACATTCATTGGCCACATCGATGGAAAAGCATCTATGCTGAATTTAGTTAAACCTATATTGGGAGTTTCCTTTGGCCCATGACTTTTAGATTCAGCCTGGTCTGCTTGGGCCTTCATTTTGGACAGCCTTTCTCAAGATTTCCCACATCTCCACATTTGAAGCATTTAGAGGCTGGTGTGTCAGAAAACTTGCCCTGGTGACAGACTGGGTCAGATTTGATATGGTATACCTGATGTTGGATGTGGTGCAGCACCTGAGTTAGCCCCAGCTGACCACTTTCCTTCCACCTCAAGTGGGCGGCCATGTTATAGGGCTTCCATTTCCCCTGAAGTCTGTCATCTGCCAGCCTCCAGCACTTGTCTCCTACTTCCTCTGGTCTTGGGTCCCCTAGATATACCAGGAAGGCAAGAAGAGAAAAGAGGGAACACAATTGGATGAAGATGAGGGGAAGGGAAGAGTAACCTAGACAGGGAAGGGGGCAAAAAATGAGGAGATTCATTTTTTAGGCATCACAAGAAGAATTAAATTTACTGGGTAAGCAGCCTCTCCCAAGTAATAACTAATCTTCAAAGGTATCCACTGCTTCTCAGTAGCAGTAGTGTCTGAAGGCATTTGCAGAACTTTTATTCCACTAAGATGGAAAGTAAAGTCTCCCTTGAACTGAGCTCTTGGTGGCTGTTTGGAGGTGTCCATACTGTTTTCTTGGCAACAATACAGAAGTGATTTGTCATTGCCTTCTCAAATATTCTTTTGATTTCCATGTCTAGCTCATAGTTCTGGGACTTCCTGTATTCTCCAGCCATGTACTAGTAATGTCCAACTTTTAGGGGGAAAAATCTCATTTGGTGAAGAGGATATTTTATTTGTAGTAGCAAGATACATTGTACTATATTCTGAGGAGTATACTATATATCAATATACCCAGACATTAGTAGTAGTCATTACTTATTATTCCTTATTTTTAATAATTACCATTATTTTTAATATATATTCTAACCCTCTTCAAGAATATGAACCTTCCTAGGTAGCTTACAATCTAAAATACAAGATATTTCAATTATTACAAATAATAGTAATAATAATAATAATAATAATAATAAGAAGAAGAAGAAGAAGAAGAAGAAGAAGAAGAAG